GATAAGGCAGGGTAAGCTGAGCCCCGCAGCAGCTTACAGCGGGGGAGAAGGTGGTGTAGACGAGAAGGCGGTGTAGACGGCTGCTCCCGGGGTGCGCAGTGCATGGTCCTGCCCTTTGCTAGCCCTTCCTGAGAGAGCTGGGGACTGGAGTCCCCGCGGGGTCCGGTGGGGAGGCGGGGACTGAGTCCGTGGGGTGGTGGCGGGAGGTGGGACTGGAGTCCCCGTTGGGGTGGAGGTTGGTGGGGATGGCGGGGACTGGAGTCCCCGTGGGGTGGCGGGAGGCGGGACGGAGTCCCCGTGGGTGGGGTGCGCAGCGACTGGAGTCCCGTGGGTGGTGCGGAGGCGGACTGGAGTCCCGTTGGGGTGGTGGCGAGGCGGGACTGGGTCCCCGTGGGTGGGTGGGGTGGCCGGAGCGTCCGGGCTGGGATGGAGTCCCCGTGGTGCGCAGCGGGACTGAGTCCGTGGTGCGAGAGGCGGGACTGAGTCCCCGTGGGGTGGTGGCGGGGGCGACGAGTCCCCGTGGGTGGGGGTGGCGGGAGAGGCGGGACTGGAGTCCCCCTGGCTGGGGTGGCGGGAGCGGGACTGATCCCCGTGGGTGGGTGGCGGGGGAGGCGGGACTGAAGTCCCGCGGTGGGGTGGGGTGGGGTGGCGGACGAGCGGGACTGGAGTCCCGTGCGGGGGTGCGGGGAGCGGAGGACTGAGTCCCGTGGGGTGGGGTGGTGGGGAGGCGACTGGGATCCCCGTGGGGTGGTGGTGGGGGAGGCACTGAGTCCCGTGTGGGTGGCGGGCACTGGAGTCCGTGGGTGGGGTGGCGAGCGGGACTGGATCCCGTGTGGGGGTGGCGGGAGGCGGACTGGAGTCCCTGGGGTGGCAGGTGGCGGGCGAGGCGGTGACTGGAGTCCCGGGGTGGGGGTTGTCGCCAGAGCCACTGTCAGCTGTCACCTCCCTGGCACAGAAAGAAACCCTTGGGCTGAGTGTCTTGTCGCTCCCATCCCGGGGGTAGATTCCAACCGGGGCTTCCCCTGCCGCTCATCCAGCACCCTCAGCGCAGGGGGTGTCCCCGGGTCTCCAGGCCCAGCCCTCTTGCACGCGCGCTCCGGGTGCTCACTTGCTCCCTGCACCCGGCCAGCCCTTATCAGAGCATGTCCTGTGCCAGTACCTAACCCCACTGCAGCTCCTGCCTCCTAGAGACCCCAGCTGGTTTTAAGAATCAGCAGGAGAAGGGACACTGAGCACTCTAGTAGATAAGAAAATTCCAGATTTTTTTTTTTTTTTTTTTTGAATCTGCGTCTTGCTATGTTGCCCAGGCTGGTCTCGAACTCCTGGACTCAAGCGATCCTCCCTCCTCAGCCTCCTGAGTAGCTAGCATTACAGGCACCTGCCACTGCCACCTCGTCTGGCTGAAAAATGGTGTTTTTTCCGTTTGGGTTCCATGGAGAAGGAAGGGCCACGCAGGAATGTGACCAGACAAAAGGCTATAAGTGACCTAATGGTAACCGAGCACCCAGCAAGGCCTTTCTGCTGGGATTCTTCCTGGTCTCCGTGCAGCACTCCTTCCTCCAGGGCATGGGCCAGGCCCCCTCTGGAATGAGGGCCCTGGAGGAAGAAGAGAGAGAGGGAGAGAGGGAGAGCTTTCTAGGTTTTATGGCTTGCTTTGGGGACAGGGGTTGTAGTTTCTATGACCCACTTAGGGGAGACAGGTTTAGTCTTCTGGTTTCTATGAATTGCTTCAGGATGAGAAGGTCAGAGAGACTTTGCTTCTGGGACCTTCCAAGCTCTTTTAGCTCACAGGACTCAGCATGCCAAAACGTTGGCTATTCTTTGGGGTATCATGTTCTGAGTCCCAGCAACTCAAGCCCCTGAAGAAGTTTTTCTTTTAAAAGAAAGAAATATGTACTTTCAATATTCTTGAGTCTAAATAATAAATAAAATAAAAAAAAAAAAAGAAAAGAAATTCCAGACTGGAGAAACAAGCTCCTAAAAGTAAAATGACAGAATTTAGATACAGGAGTGAGGTCATGTAAAGTTTGAAACTAGCAGAAGAAAACAGCCATAAAGAGAAAGTCAGCGAGCTGCAGGAACAGAGGGTTGTATGGTAGCAGGCACGTTACTGGAGCCACCATTAGGCAAGAAAAGAGAGAAAGCATGTCCCAGCCATAGAAACAAGGACGAAAATAGAGCCCACTTAACAAGCCATGTGTGCTGGATCTAAGTAATCATCATGTATTTTCTTTAATAGCCAGCCAACCGTTTTTATAAGCTAATTGCCAGTACTCTTTCTAAGGTGCTTGATGTACGTAACTCATTCAACAAGCTATGGGAAATAGATGGTTATCTAATCCATTATAGCATAACGACATGGGCACAAATAGTGACCTTCCCTAAGGTCACATCTAGGAGAACACGCCGTGTTTTGGTACCAAATCTATAGCACCCTGTTTCCAGCATTACCCAGCCACTTAAGGCAAGCTGGGGTGGCGCTTCTCAGTGAGACAAATGTCCAACCATAATCAACATAAACCACTGAAGTTCCCTTGAGTTCTCATTTCCCTATTTGTAAAGGAGGGATGGACTTGCCTCCTGCCTAAGGGCTTCTGACACCTCAGCAAAAAGCCGTGCGTAGGACCAGCTGCAGGTGCCCTACCAGGCCCGTTATCTCCACACCCCTGGCTTTGCGAATTGAAAAACAGGAGTGGCAGGGAATGTGAGGTCACAAGAACACCATGGCTTTTCAACGGGATTCCAGGCCGTCGTGATAAAATTTCCATGACTCCACTATGAATCAGATTTCTTCTTGACAACAGCTTTGGGTCTCTTATCTTGGCATAAAGCAAGATACGGATGCCTTACGACCTGGTGCTGGCAAAAAATAAGGAGAAGAGAAGTGACAGAAATGCATAATAAACAAATCACTAGTAAACGGGGTCGATGTATTCTAATCAATAAAATATAGATGACAGATCTGGGCAGGAAGGAGTGGTTTTTGTTTTAAGCAGAAGAACAGAGGGTGGGCCCAGGGGTCTCAGGCCGGATGTACTCCAAGCTCCGCAAGGAATGAGGCACTGTCTTCGTGCAACCTCGGCCAAACCAGAAACACCAACCACACACTGCCCCAGACCTTTTGCCTTGACCCCGGACCTCTGCGCCCACCGCCCCTGGGTGTCCTAAGCCCCCCAGGAAGTGCCGCCCCCAGACCACACTCACCTCCAGAGTTTCACCAGCCCTCATGTACGCCTCGAACGATGCCAGCGACACGCGAGCGCCGACGGGCAGCAGGATGAGGCCGACACCAGCGTACAAGCAGGTGGAGAGACCTTCCCGTCCCAGTCCGCGCCTTCCATGCTCGAAAAGGCCGCGGGGTCCCTGTTCCCGGGCAGGTGGCCGCGCAGTCGCTGCCGCACCCGCGCGACCTCTGCGGCGGGGTGGGGGTGGGTGGAGAGGAAGGGAAAAAACTTCAAAACTACCAACAATGTCCTTCCTTGCTTCCCGACGACCCCGGGGACTGTGTGGCGACAAAGCCGGCGCTGGTGGGCGGAGTGCCTGGCTTGCGCCCGGCGGTGGCGGTTGGAAATCAAGCGGCGGCGGTGACTCACCGAGGCCCTCCCGGAGCAGGATCCCGCCGCAGCCCCGCACTCGGCCCTTTTGAGAGCGCAGCCTCGCCCCGCCTCCCCGCCCCACCCCAGGGCTCAGTCCGCCTCCCGCACCACCATGGACTCCCAGTCCCGCCTCCCACCCCACCCACGACTCCAGTCCGCCTCCCCCCACCCCACGGCGGGACTCCAGCCCGCCTCCCCGCCACCCACCCACCCCACGGATCCAGTCCCGCCACCCACCCCACCACGAACATCCAGTCCCGCCACCCCACCACCCACGGGGACTCCAGTCCCCGCCTCCCCACCCACCCCACCCACGCGGGACTCCCAGTCGCCTCCCGCCACCCCACCCCCGACCCAGTCCGCCTCCCCCACCACCCCCACGGGACTCCAGTCCGCCTCCCCCACCACCCCACGGGATCAGTCCCGCTCCGCCACCCCACCACCACGGGCTCCAGGTCCGCCACCCACCACCACGGACTCATGTTCCCCACCCACCCCACCACGGACTCATCCGCGCTCCCGCCACCCCACCCCCACGGGATCCAAGTCCCGCCTCCCCGGCCACCCACCCCACGACTCCAGTCCGCCTCCCGCACCACCCCACGGACTCCGTCCCGCCTCCCCGCCACCCCCCCACCCACGGGACTCCCAGTCCGCTCCCCCGCCACCACCCCCACGGGATCCAGCCCCCGCCTCCCCGCCACCCCCCCGGGACTCCATCCCTCCCGCACCACCCCACGGGACCCCTCCAGTTCCGCTCCCGCCCACCACCCCACCCCACGGACTCCAGTCCCGCCTCCCCGCCACCACCCCACGGGGACTCCACCCGCCTCCCCGCCCACCCCGGGGACTGACCGCCGCTCCCCGCCCACCAACCCCACGGACTCCAGCCCCGCTCCCCGCCACCACCAACGGGACTCCAGTCCGCCTCCGCCACCACCCCGGACTCCAATCCGCACCACCCAGGGACTCAAGCCCCGCTCCCCGCCACAACACCACGACTCCAGTCCCGCCTCCCCGCCAACCCCACCACGGGACTCCAGTCCCCGCCACCCCACCCCACCCCACGACCCAGTCCCGCACCCCAACCACCCCACGGGACTCAGTCCGCCTCCCGCCACCACCCCACGGGACTCCATCCGCTCCCGGCCTCCCACCCACGGACTCGTCCCGCTCCCGCCACCCCAACCCACGGATCAGTCCCGCTCCCCGCACCCCAACCACGGGGACTCCGGTCCGCCTCCCCGCCACCGCACCCATGGGAATCCAGTCCCCGCTCCCGCACACCCCACTGGGACTCAGTCCGCCTTCCGCCACCGCACCCTGGCAGGTCCCCGCCTCCCCCCCACCACCATGGGACAGTCCAGTCCGCCTCCCGCCACCCACCCAACGGACTCCAGTCCCGCCCCCGCCACCCCACCCACGGGCAGTTCCGCCTCCCCGCCACGCCACCCCACTGGGGACTCCAGTCCCGCTCCCCGCCACCACCCCACGGGGACTCCGTCCCCGCCTCCCGCCCGCACCCACTGGGACTCAGTCCCCGCCTCCCCGAACCACCCACGGGACTCCAGTCCGCTCCCGGCCACCGCACACTGGGACTCCCAGTCCCCGCCTCCGCCACCCACCCCCGGGGGACTCAGTCCGCCTCCCGCCACCGACCCCACTGGGACTCCAGTCCGCCTCCCGCCGCACCCACCCAGGGGACTCAGTCCCGCCTCCCGCCACCGCACCCACGCTCCGTCCCGCCTCCCGCCAACCCCACCCAACTGGGCTCCAGTCGCCTCCCGCCACCCCACCCCACGGGATCCAGTCCCCGCCTCCGCCAACCCCACCCCACGCCAGTCCGCCTCCCGCACACCCCACGGACTCCAGTCCCGCTCCCCGCACCACCCACCCACGGGGACTCCAGTCCGCCACCACCCACCCACGGCTCACCGTCCGCCACCCACCCACGGGATCAGTTCCGCTCCCGCACCCCACCCCACGGGACTCCAGTCCGCGCCTCCCCGCCACACCCCACGGTCCAGTCGCCCCCGCCACCACCCCATGGGGACTCCAGTCCCACTCCCGCCACCCACCCCATGGGATCAGTCCCGCCTCCCCGCCACCCCACCCACGGGGATCCAGTCCCCGCCTCCCCGCCACCCCACCACGGGGATCAGTCCCGCTGCCCGCACCACCCAACCCCACGGGGACTCCAGTCCCACCTCCTCTCAGGAAGGCAGCAAGACAGACCATGCACGCGCACCCGGAGCGCCGTCACACCGCCTTCTGTCTACACCGCGCTTCCCGCTGTAAGCTGCTGCGGGGCTCAGCTTACCGTGTTATCTGGAGGTTGCTGTGAGCGAGGCTGACGCCACGGCACTCACTCTAGCCCGGGCAACAAAGTGAGACTCTGTCTCAATAAATAAATACATAAATAAATAAATCTCACACTAAGATACTTTCATAATTGGAAAAGTTGTCATAGAGATTGATATTTCTGTCTTCTCTCTTTAAATTATTAACAGTACAGGTTAAATTTTTAAAAATGTTTTAATAAAAATGTTTAAAAGACCAAATACAACTCTGAATTAAATATTTGGACAGGTGGTAATAACTGGAAATTTGTATCTTAAATATTATTTCAAAGTATACCTTCCCTTTTCTAAAACAGAATAAAAATAAGTGGATTGGTAGTTAAAGAGGACAGTCAAATTTATCCTAGAATGAGGCTTGAACTCTTTTGTTCTGCCAAGTTCGTAAGTTAAAAACCTGTTCAAATCATAAGAGTTGGCCGGGTATGGTAGCTGTAATCCCAGCACTTTGGGAAGCCACAGAAGGAAGATTGCTTGAGGCCAGGAGTTCAAGACCAGCCTGGCCAACATAAATGAAACCTCTACAAAAAATAAGAAAAATTAGCCAAGTATGGTGGCCCGCACCTGTAGTCCTAACTACTTGGGAGGCTGAGGCAGGAGGATCACATCACATTCTAGCCTGGGTGACAGAGCAAGATCCTGTCTCAAAAAAAAAAAAAAAAAAAAAATGACAGTTATCTTTAATTAATGGATTGATGTCACCATCCTGTAATATATTGTGCCAAAGTTCATTTGTGCACTTTGAGCAGGCAGCAACCAGCTGACAGCAACAATTAAAAAGAAAACAACTTGCTGACTAATTAGTAGCTTAAATGTACTCTGGCCTCTGTTAAAAAATAAAAAGAGCGAGACCCTTCTCTCTACTAAAAAATAGAATTAATTGCCAACTGAAAATACATAGAAAAAAATGAGCCGGCGTGGGTGGCGCATTGCCTGTAGTCCCAGCTACTCGGAGGCTGAGGCAGGAGAATCGCTTACACAGGATATTATGAGATAGTGCTGAGCGAGGTGATGCCAACGGCACTAACTCCTAGCCAGGCGACAAAGTGAGGACTGTCTCAAAAAAAAAAAAAAAATGTCTCGATGTTTGGATTCAGGCAGGATTAATATAAATCTCGACAACTGAACGGCCGGGCACGCTGGCCACGCCTGTAATCCTAGCATCTGGAGAGGCCTGAGCAGGCGAATTGCTTTCAAGGTCAGGAGTATCAACCCAGCCTAAGCAAGAGTGAGACCCGTCTCTACTAAATAAAAAATTAATTGGCGGCTAACTAATATATATAGAAAAAAATTAGGAGCAATACAGAAGGTGGCCATAGTGCGAGTCCCATACTCCGGAGGCTGAGGGCATAAGGATCGCTTGAGCCAGAAGTCTCTCCCCGCCACCGCCCACGCCCACTGGGGGACTCAGCTCCCCGCCCTTTCCCCGCCACCCCACCCCACGGCGGGGACTCCAGGTCCCGCCTTTCCCCGCCACCCGGCCACCCCACTGGGACTCCCAATCCCGCCTCCCCGGCACCCCACCCCCACTGACTCAGTCCCGCGCTCCCGCCCACCCCACCCCACGGGGACTCCAGTCCCGCCTTCCCCGCACCCCACCCCAACGGGGGACTCCAGTCCCGCTCCCCGCCACCCACCCCACGGGACTCCATCCCGCGCTCCCGCTCCACCCACCCACCCCACGGACTCCAGTCCCGCCACCCCCACCCCACCCCACGGACTCCAGTTCCCCGGCCTCCCCGGCCACCCACCCCACGGGACTTCCAGTCACGCCTCCCCGCCACCCCACCCCACGGGCGACTCCATGTCCCGCCTCCCGCCACCACCCCACGGGGACTCCAGTCCCCGCCTCCCCGCCGACCACCCCATTGGGGGACTTCCAGTCCCACCTCCCCGGCCACCACCCCATGGGGACTCCAGGTGCCCGCCTCCCGCCACCCCACCCCACGGGGACTCCAGTCCCCGCCTCCCCGCCACCCCACCCCACGGGGGACTCAGTCCGGCCTCCGCCACGCCACCAACCCCACGGGGACTCCAGTCCCCACCTCTCTCAGGAAGGGCTAGCAAAGGACAGGACCATGCACTGCGCACCCCGGGAGCAGCCGTCTACACCGCCTTCTCGTCACACCGGCCTTCTTCCCCCCTGGTAAGGCTGTGCGGGGGGCTCAGCTTACCCTGCCTTATCGCGGGTTGTTCGCGCAGAGCCACTGTCAGCTGTCACCTCCCTGGTTGCACAGAAAGAAACCCTTTTGGGCTGAGTGTCTTGGTCCCTCCATCCCGGTAGATTCCAACCGGGCTTCCGCCTGCCGCTCATCCAGCACCCTCAGCGGCAGGTGTCCCGGTCGCCAGGGCCCACCCTGCTGCACACCGCGCTCCGGCGGCTGCTCGCTTGCTTCCCTGCACCGGGGCAGCCCTTATCGAGCATGTCCTGTTGCCAGTACCTAACCCCACTGCAGCTCCTGGGCCTCCTTAGAGACCCCAGCTGGTTTTAGAGATCAGCAGGGCAGAGGGACACTGGAGCACTCTAGGTAGGATAAGGAAATTCCAGACTTTTTTTTTTTTTTGGAAACTGCGTCTTGCTATGTTGGCCCAGGCTGGTCTCGAACTCCTGGACTCAAGCGATCCTCCTCCTCAGCCTCCTGAGGTAGCTACATTACAGGCACCTGCCCACTGCCCACCCCTCTGGGCTTTTGAAAATGG